TTTCAAGAGGAATTTAACCTGAGCAATGTAAAATTCATTACAACTGAGTTGCATTGAAGTGATTTCAGGAAAGAAAACAGGCTAACCGAACGAAATTTACTTCCTTTCATTATAAAGTCATATTGGTGTTGGAAAGAGTTACAACACCATTCGCCATCAATACTGTATACCTCGCAAAGACAAACATAGTGTAATGTATTTCACGGAGTTTAAATTTTGTTTCCTTTTTTTTAGATTCGGGTATTGTTGATGGAGTGTTGGGTACATTATTGATCATATCTGTTATTATCAATGTTGGTTTGGTTGTATATTTTACAAGGTGGGTTCATATATATACATTTTCATTAATACTCTTTATTTGTGCCTCAAAATCAAATTTATAACTACAATGTCGAAACCTATCAATGTTAAATCACCGGTAATCCAGTAAATACAAGGTACTAAAGAGTTTTGTTTCTATTGTCTTCTTAAATTACAGGAAAATGAAATCCTTGTCATCTACACCAAGAGAAAATAATTATGATGGTATAACTAATACAGGACGAGATCAAACATTACCAACTTATGATTTTCTACAAGTTAATTCTACTGCTAGTTCTGATCATGTTAACAAGACTAGACCAGATAGTAGTCATACTTATTATAATACAAAAGGAGAATCTTTATCACGTAATATTGATCCCTATTATGAGAATATGAAAAAACCTTAATCATATAAAAAAAAAAACAAGGTTGGTTGGTAGATGACAAGTTAACGTTCGCTTCCAGCAGATGTTGATCGCAAACTATATAAAACAATTCTCCCTAGCTTAATACTGGTTTCAATGTTTGATAAAGATAGAATCACTCAATTTATTGCATGTAATCATTTACAATTTCGAATGTAAAGAATTTGTTTTGATATCATATTATGTTCATTGATATTATTTTATCATGTTGAGCTGTATCATAATATGCCTACACTTCTTATCATTATTATCATTGATTTGTGTTAGTTTACAGGGCCAATGTCAATTACGATTGTTTGTATATTCATGTTTCAATAAATCATTTTGTTTTATTATTCGTTTGTTGGATTGACTATAGGGGAGCTTAATTGCTAGTCTGTCACTAGAGTCTGTGGTGCGGTCCTGTGTTAAAACAAATCGTGGTGTAGATTTGACAGATTAGATTGGAGAAGCTTAAGAACAGTCAGGTAAAACAGTACACCGAGAGCTCATGTGTTGTGGGCTGTAAATGTTTAAAATCCCTCCAATTTAAGATAGAGACGAAAAGCGTTGTTTTCTTGACAAGTCAGGTTCAGAAAACTAGATGTAAAAACCCAATTTATTTTCCTTTCAAATGTGTTCGCTTCAATGCGGGATAATCTGAAGTATATTTTTTTTTTCACTGTTTGTGAACTGATATCTAGGACGCCAAGCCAACAAATTATTTCTCAGTTTATCTAAATCTTACTTTTAAACATCAAATACACTTAAAAACTGTGTGTATTGTTTTATTTCTTTTGTACATTTCCTTGTACATGTCTTGATGATCAACCAAAAATCAATCGATTTTTGTCCAAAACTATAAGTAGATACCCATTTTAAGGTTTGTGTAGACTTTAATAGCAGTTAATGATTTACAGTAGAAATAAATGATAATGACATAAATACGAAGATTACAAGACTAGATGATTTACATATGAATCTTTTGATTGATGAACATGATGAAGTGTAAAAGATGATCACAATAATACTACAAAACCTCTTAACAAGTAGCCAGATTGTAAGGTGTATCACTACTATCTGGATTATTACTATCTTGGACATGATGAGTCAACTGACGACAGCTTATGTTACATTATAGCAGTGGGTTTGTTAATATCGTCATCGTAAACTCATTGTTAACACTTTTATTATTATGGTTTTATTAAATCACTGAAGTTGAATTTTTTATGATCTTCATGAACGAATACCTAAATTAATATGTAGCCTGGATTTACGTGTTTTTTTATGTAATTCGTCACTTAAAACGGTGTCATATTTCTTACCTTTATAAATCCTACATTTAACTTCCCTTTTCACATTAATAATAACTTCTAAATTAATCTTCAGTCACATGACATAATGTTATAAAATAGGCTAATACATACTCCTTTTATTGACGTTATTCAACATATCATTTTTATTAAAGACTACATTCATATACAAGCCACAATCTAAAAATGTAAGTTCTTGTCAAATGTCTATCAGTATCAAATCAATATATTGTGGTTATTCGACAGTCGTTATCCTTCCAAAAACAGCAAAATATAGCTTCTTTAAGACTAACGTGAAGTTATTCTTTGATTTAGATAAACAATGTAAAATGGCGATCCAGGAAGTTTAAAATAGTTGAACCTGAAAACTGAATATGAAAATAAGATAAGATGAGTTATAACATGGGTGATAATATAAAGAGAATCAAGTTTTATTTTGTGATATTTTGTGTCCTGATTTGTTTTCCAGTTGTTCGTAAGTTAAAATTTTCATTAATTTCGTTAATTCTTATGAACTTCTTATAAGAAATATTCCCTTCCTGGTCTATTCTTGGAAAGAAACTTCAGATATTTCATGGAAACAACCGTTCTTAACGCCTTTCTATATATAAAGATAAACCTATAAGTAAATAGTAAAAGTTTCATTTTAGCTCAAATGTTATCATCTTTTTAACATCTTAAATGTTCAAATTCAATATATAGTAGCAGGTTATATATTCATTATATTATCATTATATCATTGGTATATCAATACATAATATGTTTCAGGTAGTACTAATACAAGTACAGTATGTTATGGAGCACCTGGTGCAAGATGTACAACTCACAAACTATCTTGTATCAGTCCTCTAGTAATACAGATAATAAATACATCATATGGATATAGATCAGGATGTAATAGTAATGGTATAGCTGATTGTACTGATACAACATGTTGTAAAGAAAAACCTGGTGATTGTTTTCAACAATTTTCTTCTGATGAGAATCGACAAGTAGTTAGAAACTGTAGTGAAGTAGAAACTTGTACTGTACCTAGATTTCGTGAGGTTAATGGTAGAGAATGTGGTGGAACTATTAGTGCTTACAGTAAAATACAATACAGTTGTGTTTCAAAGGGTATATTGGATTTCTGAAAATATTTCATAGCTTATCATTTCAGCTTACAAAGAGTGTCGGATTATTCATTCCGTAAAGTGATATGAGACTGCAATGACGTCCACTTTATTCAAATGATTTTCAATTAGTTGTGATGTTCCCTCCCATTGAACTTTCAACTAATTATGTAGAATGTGTATATACGAAATCAAACGCATGGTTGAAAAAAAGAGTTGTTGACTCATTTGTGGTATAGTACAAGAGTATTCATCGTCATTTATAACATACTCTATATTCTAGAGTTCTTGCTCCAAACCTTAGGGCACTATACATCATAGAATACAATTTAATTGGTACCATTTTCAATTCAAATAGAAGCGTTTATAATGTCAACAGAAGATTAAAATGAATTCATTAATTACGGTCGAAGTATTCACCCCTTTGCTTATGGTGGTATAGCATTAAAAAATAGACATTTAACATATTTTGTTTTGTCTGTCATTAGCTAATGATACCTGTAGAAATTAATTTTAGATAAGTGC